ATTTTTGCTACTTGTTCCTAATGGAGTTTTGAAACACTTCTAAAAACAACAAGGTGACCGCATAGCTCTTGCAAATTTTTATTCAATTACGATGCAGTTTGATTTTGATATAAATTTGATGTCAGCGTTTTGTCATTCATGCAATTCATTTGTTTCCTTTTTTGATTCCGCAGATTATACTCATCGTATTGGAAGAACGGGTCGTGCCGGAAAACACGGTATCGCTGTTTCTTTCTGCACCCAAGACGACTCTGGGCTCTTCTATGATTTGAAGCAGTTGGTACTTTCCAGTCCCCTTTCCACGTGTCCTCCAGAGTTGACTAATCACCCGGAGGCACAGCATAAACCAGGAGCGATTGTGCAGAAGCGTCGAAAGGACGAAACGCTGTTTTTGCATTGAGAATGTGTGTGAGTGGTTTTGTTGGTCTGCAATTTTCTGGCGACGATCGAGCGAATAAACGCGGGTTGCGATTCTCCATTTTAAATTTATTGGAAATATTTTTTTGTTTTTTTTAGCAGAAGACAGCTTTCTGTTTGCAAAAAAAAAATTTGAAAAGTGAGTTTCCGGTTTGTGATCATTTTTTTTTTTTTTTGATTGCGGTCGAATTCAAGATTTTGGTGATTATTTCGGAAGACGATTTTAAGTTTTTCTAATGCCGTGAGGATTTAGGGAAAAATGTTGGGTAACTTCGCCTGAAGTGCAATAGTTTTTTAGAATAGATGATAATTTTTGTAATGATTCATGTTTTGATTTCAGTTGCTGAAACTCGAAGATCGACAAAATTGTTTTGATTTGCCGAGTCCTTGGAAATTCAGAAAAGTAATCGTAGTTTTAACATAGGTGTCGCTGCAAGCGTATGTTTTCCTTTCCTTGATGCATCCGTGTAGCTGTCGCTGTTCGCATTCGGACTTCCGAGACAAGTGATAGTGCGAGTCGCATGAGACACATATACCGGTACACTACATTGAATTTGAAATCAAGACATTCATGCGCATACGCGTGGTGCTTATCGATTTGTATGATTTTCTGATAAATTTATCCATGTCTACGAAATCTTCATGATACAGTACTACAGTATTTCATGTGAGAATCGTGGCCCATGCATCGACGAATTTTTCACTTACCAAAGCAGAATTTGTGTTGAAACGCAACTTTGTGCGAAAACTGTATGAATACAAAGAAATCAACCCTTCGAATTTTTTCTATAGGCACAGCAAATGTAAAATCCGTAACGAAAGTCAAATTGTTGCCTTTTTCGTTCCCGCGCCAATAATTAGTGAATTTCAGAAAGTTGAGAGCTTAAAATTCGGAAATGTTCTCCAATTCCATAGTGGAATAAATTCGTCTTCTAATGTTTTACAAGATTTTTCGTGCGTGTTCTGGAATAGATAATATATTTTACATCATTGAACTTCAGGAAAGTCGTATGATTTATCCATGACGAAATTTCACGGAGAAGAGAAATTCTGGAACGGATCAATTTCT